AGTGTATGTGTCAAAGAAGTCCAGTCCAGATACAGCACCTAATACATCTACTTCTATTGTAGTACTGTACTGTAGTGTATATGTCAAAAGACAGTCAGTCAGATACAGCACCTAATACATCTTGCTGCTAATACTGTAGTACTGTACTGTAGTGTATATGTCAAAAGACAGTCAGTCAGATACAGCACCCCTAATACATCTTACTGCTAATACCTTAGTACTGTACTGCTGAGTGTATATGTCAAAGACAGTCAGTCGAATACAGCACCTAATACATCTTACTGCTAATACTGTAGTACTGTACTGTAGTGTATATGTCAAGACAGTCAGTCAGATGCAGCACCTATTACATCTTACTGCTAATACTGTAGTACTGTACTGTAGTGTATATGTCAAGACAGTCAGTCAGATACAAGCACCCTAATACATCTTACTTCTAATACTGTAGTACTGTACTGTAGTGTATATGTCAAGACAGTCAGTCAGATGCAGCACCTAATACATCTTGCTTCTAATACTCAGCCAGTACTGTACTGTAGTGTATATGTCAAGACAGTCAGTCAGATACAGCACCTAATACATCTTACTTCTAATACTGTAGTACTGTACTGTAGTGTATATGTCAAAGGAACAGTCAGTCAGATACAGCACCTAATACATCTTACTTCTAATACTGTACAAAGTCAAACCTTGTGCATGTTGTCCAGGTCAGCGAGGTATCTCTGCATATTTTGATCGTCATGGTAGAGATGAGTGACGGCAGTTGATGCGTGACAAGCCTGGGCGATGACAGCACCTACAGGCCAGGCTAGAGATGGCATCAAGTCTGTCCGCACCACAACGTACTGAACAAGTCCCAACGTTGCTCCTGACATTGCTTTCCACGCCTGTGTAGTGTGAAAGGTTAATTAATGTTTTATATCAGGAAAGTAAAAAATAATAATAATAATAAATTCCTGTTAGAAATGGTTAATTGGTTATGTTAGAAATGGTAAACAACCTTGTAGTGTAGAGTAAAGTAATCCTCTCTTGATCAAGCCTAGTCAGGATGTTCTAGTGTTAATTGTTCACTATTTGTATCTGTATTTGTTGACTCAATAAACTGTTTCAATATTATACAGGCTGCTCAATTAAGATGCTGCCTCAACCAACCACAAATTATATCCACTATGGTTGATTTGTCAACTAATTTGGGGTTAGTTCTAGACCCTGCAGCCATATGGCATCACGAAAAGTGTGACCAAGTCCCAGGTTGATGATCTGACTTTCTGCCTCATTTACACACAATTGCAGGGTCTCAATTGTTTCTCTTACTATGACAACACAACATACATATATTGTTTCTCACTTTTGATCTTTTATTTTATTTCTTTTGGTTCTTTATTATTATTATTGCAATTATATTATTATTATTATTATTAGTATTATTATTATTATTTTATTTTTTCATTTTATACTTATCTGAATTATTATTATTATTATTACATTTTCGCACCAGGCCCCTGGGGGCTAACTCGTAAAAAATTCCTTCCCATCACACAATTCTTCAACAGCCAGACTATGAACCCTGGCTGGATATAAGAGTTCTGGATGAATCACCTATTTGACTCAGAGCCATTATGTTAAACAATGCCACACACACTATGAGAATTATCCCTTTCTTTATCACTATACTGTACCAGGAGGTCGTGAGAGTACTGGACTTTATACAGTACTCCCTGACTCTTCCTTACCATACACATACAGTCCTGTACTGTGCTGTTGTATTGTTTTTAAGTAGTGGATATTTTACCATGACTGGCTAAGTTCCCCCTAACGCTATTTTACCATGAGTGCGCTCTGATTGGCTAATCGATTACGGGTAACAACGCGAAGAACGGATATGGTGACCGTGATCATTTCATTTGGCATTTATTTCACCGTGAGTCGATCGTTTGTACTTGTAAACATACCTAACCAGGAGTTATTTGAATTTAGTAATTTTTTTACACAGATGTTCTTATCATTATAAAAAGAACCTGACCTAACCAACAAAGAAGCCTACCTAACCTTACCTAACTTTCTAGCTGGGGAGGGAGCAGAACCCCCCATGATATTAAACAGAAAATACTTAGCCAATCAGAGCACACTCACGGTAAAATAGCGTTAGTAGGAACTTGGCCGGTCAAGGCAAAATATCCACTACATTGCTTTTATTACTTACTATCATCCAAAGAACATCGGTAGAAAACATGAGAAATCGAACAAGTCCTTCTGGTGTTAGCCATCTGCCAGTATTATCCTATATATATATATATACCAAATATAGGAAAGACAATATTTGCTTTAACTAACTCCTACTGCTTCAGTGAGGGACAACAGCCACCAACATAATGTAGGAGCTGTGTAGTGCAGCAATAGTGTGGCCACATGACACTAACAGCAGGACAGTGGTGAAGACAACACCACACACAATACTCAAGGTTCAAGAGGACATTTTAACAGTAAAGTGTACTTTGGTACAGCTAACGAGTTAACCACTAATAATAAAGTCAGTCATTAATTAAAATATAAAGTTTCTCCTATCTAAATCTAATGAAGAGAGTAATTTTTATATATTATAATATTTAAAAGGAAAAACATTATGTAGTAACTTAAATATTTGGATTTGTACAGGGAAGTGAGGTGCTTGTAGACCCCCTCCCACCTTCTGTCCCTGACCACGTGTTAATGTACAGTACTAGAGTAAAGTAACATCAGCCTCATTAAATATGACACATGTTCTAGAGTACAAGTAATATACAATGGTCACTCACCTGTCCTTCCCTTTCAAAACGTAAACATAAAATGATCGGTTATCCTTACAACACCTTAACTCAAGCCTATGTATTAAATAGAATACTAAGAAAACGAACACTGGGAAAAAACAGTTTCTCTTAATCTGTATTTGTTGTTAAGATTGACTCAAGTTCAGTATGTTGGACTACCTTAGCTACTGAAGCATTTAAGATTCCATTCAGGTTCTATTTCATTTATTACCTTCATCCTCCACCACTGCTCGCCCCCAGTCCTTGTTGCCCGTCTTCCATCCAATTGTCAATCCACGTTAAAATCTTGCCGTGATGCCATACAGGCTTATCGTGCATGTGTGACTTGTTAAATGCCTTTGAAGAATCTAGCGGATTTGTTAACTTGTACATAGATTATTTTTCTTCAAGGAGTTTGACAAAGTCCCACATGCACGACTAGCCAAGTTATCATCAGAAAATTTCAATACTTTTACTTTAATGCAGTATTGTGCTCAGGCATTTTTGTATTGTAAAAAGTAGTTACGATTGACCTCAGAATATCTCTTAATATCAAGTGCACACGGCTCCAAAACACTCAAAATGCTTATGATATTGGTTCAGATTAAGAGGGGGCTTACAGCGTCCCCTCTGACCAGGCTCCTCTGCTCTCCATGTTCCCCCGCCCACAAATTCTTGGACCTCCCTTTTAAGATTCCGAGATCCGCCCCTGAGGTATATGGATCGTATCTTCTGTGGCAGAGACAGAAGTTGGAGGATGAGAGTGTGTTTGCCGGGAGCTGGGTTAGCTGACAAGAGACAGGATGGACCCATATTCCGGAACGGGGTGGTAATATCGACAATATATACCTAGATTTTGCCAAGGCATTCGACAGTGTACCCCCACGAAAAGTTGAAAATCAAACTGGAAGAGTACGGAACTCGGGGAAATGTCCTAGCGTGGATAGAAGACTTTCTGCATGATGCAAGCAATGTGTGGTGATTAATGGCACGAAATCATCTGTAGAAGGACCTAGGTGTGTATGTTGACAATGAGCTGAAGTTCTCGGGCCATTGCGAGAAGAAGGTAAATGAGGCAAATAAATTATTGGGTCTTATAAGAAGGTCGTTCAGATATCTAGACAGTCCGTCCTCGTAACGATCTTCAAGAGTGAAGTGCTTCCCCATCTGGTACTGTCACCCGTCTGGTCCCCGAGATATGCTAGGGACTGTCAGTTGGTTGAAAATATTGGAGGGCCGCAGACTGGTGCCTGCACTTCGGCACCTGAACTACCTGAATGAGCCAGAACTTGCCTAGCTTATACCAGGCGGGCAGGGGCGACTTAATTGAGGTGTATAAGCATCTCGGGGCACTACTCAGTTGAGTGTCCTTACTTGGGGCTGGCGGACGCTCGCTCAAGTCACAGCTCAAGATTGAAGAAGCCGCAAGTCCAGAAAACCGTGAGGGCAAACTTTTTCGGAGTGAAGGTTGTGAACTCTTGGAACAATCTGCCAGAAAGTGCTGTGTCTGCACCGAGTGTGAGCTCTTTCAAGACCAGACTTGACCAACACTGGAGCAGGTTCAGGTACATTCAGGAGCCGGTACATGCCCAGTACTTGCCAACAGTGTGTGACAGAGACGTGACCGACCACCCAAGCGGCTACAGAGGTCGTTCAGATATCCAGACGGTCCGACAAACTCCTTTAATTCATCATTTTACACCTGTCTGTCTCGCCTCCATAACGCTAAATATCAATCGCCCTCTACACTGCACCGTTATATTCATAACTTCAATTTCTTATACGGCCATAAATTGTCTCCCGCGTTTCCCTTTAACATAATGGCTCTCAGTTCTTGCTCTGACTATCAGCTAATGTAACCACATTATTTAATTTGTTTGATCAAATGATAGAAAAAAAATAAATTTTTGGCACAACTCTGTTATATCATTCTTAAAAAACAACAATCTAAAAACTTGCTCATAAAATTATATTACAATATTTTTCTGACACTTTCCTGTGGCAGTCAAATAACCCGCGGCCAAGTTCAATGTAGAAAACCCTAGTTGTATTCTCATGAATATTGTATTTATAAAAAGAAATAGTAATAAAATTTAATATTAATACTCTCAATCATTTAATTTAAATAATACTTAATATATGTAGCGGTAAATGTATTTTGATATTAGTAATAAGTGAAGGTATAAGGTGTTTGCCTGACCCTGGAGTGAGGTTTGTGTACATCATCAGTAGTGCCGCTGGGAAGACTCTCACCTCTCACAGTGTCAGTCTGGTCACCCACTCACCGCTTTCCCTTTCCTTAATATAAGTGAGGTAAGGAGGTATTAGTGTGTATATCACCAACATGTGTGTATGGTTGTCTTGGGGGGACATGAATAAGGAGTTTGACCTAGATTGTTAGTGGCCAGCTGTGATCATCTGTCAGACCAGATGGTTCCTGGAATGTAATGACCTTGTTCTAATTTATTTCTTTTTTATTTGTTATTATTTGCTCTAAACTCCAAATGGCAACCTTTAGATAACAACTGAAAGAGATAGTTAGTGTATGAGAGATCACGACCGGTGTTGTTCCACCTTGACCTTTCAACACTCGTGGTTGACAGAAGCGCCAGGTAGTCTCTACTGAACCTCGAAAAACCTAACCTAACCTAACCCAACCTAAAATAATGTTAGCTAATTTAACAGTGTGTTCCTAGCTGGGAGACAAAGCCCTGGACCCCCAGCCGTCACACCATAGAACCTATTGTCATCCTCAAGTCCGGGTCATGAACTAAATCAAATATAAACTGTTATTATTTGATATTTGTGAACTTATAGGCTGGTTTATGTCATCAGTAGTCTTGTTGTCATCAAATGTACCAAAAAATGTAATGTGATAATCCTTTACCTAAACCTACAGTACAATACAGTACAGTAAAATAAGTTAGGATAATACTGTACAGTATTTATAAGTTAACTTAGGGTTACCTTATTTAAACCTTCAGTATTTACCAACTCACATTGCATTAACTACGTTAGTGTAGGTGTATAACAATGTGAGCGCAGACAATGAGTTAGGAGTGCATACAGTATTGAGTGTATACCAGTAATACACTGTATACTTGTACTATGTATTGTCTATATTAAGTATCTGTATATAAGAACAAGTATTAGGGCTTCAAAAATTAATGTTATAATTATTAAAATTTTGATAACCTCTTTACATGTACAAGTATTCAGTGTTGTCATATTTGCATTGAAAACCTTTGATAATACAAAAGATCCCCTAAAAATATCTGCCACAGGCTTCTATAAAAACAAATCTAAATTTGTTAATCAAAGAACGGGGAAGGCAAAATCCCGGACATTTTTAGATACAGGCATTTAAAAGACGTGGCCGGAAGGAGGTTAAAAGATATATAGTAACCCTAGTTAACTGGTGACTGTATTAACCATTTTGTGTAAATAGCATAGTTTTGGGTTATAGTGGTGACTTTATTAATACTGTAGTCTTAACTTCACTCCAGTTATATCCAGACTTGCTTTTCAGGATGTGTTGAAACCTGGGTGCGAGTTAAATACGAGGAAGGAGTCACTGACCCAAACAACCCCTTACAGTACTCACTTGAAGTACTGTACTGTATATCCTGAAACTATATTGTGTGGACAACAGTGTCTGAAACTTACCACCATGAGGATATATTCTGTTTCAATGTGTTTTACTTTGGTAAATAAACTGTTCAAGGTTGATGTAAAAGTGCGAGTGATTTTAGGAAAGTTAATTTATTTGGAAAACAGTGTAACTAATGCACCTGATCAGGTTTGTGAGTGGTGCAACCCAGAAGTTGATTGTGTAGAGCAGTTAACCAGACGTACACAATGATACCCATCACTATAGATGTGGAGGACACTAAACTAAGCACCCAGGTGAGCAAGACTAAGATCAAGGACTTACTCGGTAGTGTGGCCAGATTGATCCTCTCGGACAAAGACTCGCGCAACCTATTCTTCTTCCTTTTGTTAAATTTAACTTTTGGGTTTGTGGAACTCTTCTATGGAATTTTGACCAACAGCCTTGGCCTCATATCTGATGCCTTCCATATGTTTTTTGACTGTTCGGGTCTGGTGGTTGGGCTGGCCGCTAAAGTCATCACCAAGTGGCGGGCCAACGATAAATTTACTTATGGATATGTGAGAGCCGAGATCCTCGGGGGATTTATAAATGGACTCTTATTATTGTTTGTGTCATTTTTCATATTTGCAGAATCTGTTGAACGTTTAATTGAGCCTCCGGAAGTGAAACACGATCGATTATTCCTCGTCTCGGTTCTGGGCTTTTTTGTCAATATTATTGGTATATTTGCATTCCAACACGGGGGTGGACACGGTCACAGCCACGGTGGAGGATCTCACGGACATTCACACGGCGACCACGGACATTCTCACGGCGACCACGGACACGCACATAATGGACACGCACAGCACGGTCACTCCCGCAGGCGGCGGCTCACACATCATGCAGGGCGTCTACCTCCACATCTTGGCCGACACACTGGGGTCGGTCGGTGTCATTGTGTCATCCGGCCCCTCATGTATCTGTTTGGATGGATGATAGCAGACCCAATCTGTTCCTTGTTTATTGCTGTCCTTATCCTTGTGAGTGTACTCGGTCTTCTTAAAAATTCTGTGGAGATTCTGATGCAACGACAGCCTAGGGAGTTGAACGATGTGCTCCCTGGTTGTTTCTATAAAATAAGTGCACTTCCGGGAGTGTTCAGTGTTCAGGAGCCACGCTGCTTGGACGCTGTGTACTGGACAGTATGTCGGAAACCTAAAATTAGAAGTGTCGGCTGCTAGCAGATCCACGATACGTTGTCCAGCAGACCCGTGCTATTCTTAATTCTGTGGGTGTGACACAGGCGTATGTTCAATTAGATTATTCCACTATGTAGTGTATATAGAAACTTTTAGGCATCAATTGTATACTATTAAAGTGTGGCTGGGACGCATATGGTAACTTCTGCTGAGCCAAATGTTATTAAGGTCTCAAAAAAGAGTTGTAAGAAATGTTGAATTTTGTGTACAGAGATAAATCAATTAGGTCACCAGTTTAAACATACCTGATACTTGTTACATTTTTCACTCATTATGCACTTTTTTTGTTATTAATGGTGCTTGTTAGGAAAAACTTGTTTGGAAAAGTTAACCGGAATAAATGTTGACAGTTATGGTTCAAAATTATGCTGCTGTTGGGCATTACATTAACCCCTTGTGTAGCGATTCCTAATGGTCTTAAACGAATCTCTAATAATCAGTTCTTTATACAGTATATTTATTATTATTATTATTTGGCCCCTTAAGTTCTTTTGCAATTCATATTGATATTTACTTTCACTATTTCCAGCTCTTAATTTTATATATATATATATATATATATATATATATATATATATATATATATATATATATATATATATATATATATATATATATATATATATATATATATATATATATATATATATATATATATATATATATACACACAAACAATGAAAACGTGGATAAGATAACACGGGACATTGTAACTGTGAAGTCTGTAGTGGATAATTACTGAATGTTTAGTTAGGTGGCTTCACTGCATTTGTGTTTTCTCTGATTCTCATTCATAAATAATCTTTTTCACTTGGCTCTCAGATTTCCTCTGCTTAAAAATTTACTGTCTCCTTCATCTAAGCTCACATATTTTCTTTTGCACTTCTCTGTTTATTTATTTGTAAGGAAAATCAGTACAATTGTTTCTAATGGAGAGAGATACACAGTACAGTGTTTATAAAAAAAAACTAGTTTTGTTCATAATTTACAGACACCAGTTAATAATATTGGAAGGGGCCGTACAATCTCCTCATCCTGTGCAGTGTGCTTCATGGGTGTTGGGAGGAAGTGTATTGGGTCTCAAGTCTCTGAGCTGTTAGTCATTCATGGTAAGGAAGGACTGTCTTCCCCAGGTCTGTTCCATTCATGCCAGATTAATTGCCTAATATAGATTACTGTAGTTCCAATTCTTTTTATATTTTTATGTTTGAGATTCTGCAAATCATAGTCATAAATTATAGTTTAAAGGACAAAATTTAATTGATTTGTCATGCTTAATTGGACTTTTTTCCTCAAAAATTGGTAGGGTCTAGGCAGTGTGTACCTTGCATATGAGGAGCTTCTTGAAATTTAATCCACGTTAAAATATAGAAACTTAAATTTCAACAACACATTAGAAACATAATTTTGTTGTTGAAACATCAACAATGTAAGTGAAATATAATATAAATTTTTTAATGTGGGTTTGATTTATGATTTTGATATTCACTTTATTGTGAATCCTTCCAAGCTTCTTGAACCTTTTGTACTCACTATATTGTACTGGCACAGATAGCAGTACTGTACTCTACCCTTACCACATACGCTATTAAAGTTCTCTCTGGGTGCAGTATATTCTGTACGCCAAAAGAAACATGAGTTTGTGTAACTCACTCTAGACGGTTTGAAATTTTGTTTCCAATTTTGAAATCTTTATATGTACTGTACTGAATTAGGCAATGTTATAAATAGCCACAAGATCAGTTAGGTGAAATATCTAACTGGTTTCTAGGTAGTTACTGATAAGCCAGAGTAAAGTTGTTTCGTGTGATAACTTATGAATGATTTGTTGTCACTACAGTACAGGGATTTGTTAAATTTTATAGTTTAATAAGATGTTTAAATTTGAAATTCTTTACTGTAAATGCACAAAACTAGTCAATTAGCCTTTAAACTATTTATAATGACTATATCAATATACTGTACTGTGCCGATGATACAAGTGCTACCTAGTTGTGTGAGCGATAAAAAATAAAATATAGTGAACTTTGGTGTATAAAGATATTTATTTTTATACATGGTAAAATGTAAGTTACTACTAGGTATCATTAACGACCATCAGAGATACATACAGTACACGGTGTTCACGTGTACGTAAACAGGACCATCGTTTTACTGCTCCTACTTGTTGTGTAATGTATCCCAACTTGTTCCTTCCAAGGCTCTCTCTACCTAAGCTGTTCTCTATTTATTGTTACTTAAGCTACAGTACATCCAATGGAAGTTTTTTTATCTTTGAACAACTGTGCCAGAACTAATGAGATCCAAGTGTGGAAGCAAGTGTGATAATGTATTACTGTGAGGTGGCATCATTGATTATTGATTTATTACTTGGTCCATGAGGGTTCATAGATGTGGTTAGCTATTGATCTAGACCAGATGGCATACTTGAGTTGAGCCCTAGTGTTATTAACAGTGTATGAGCATTATATTACTGTACTCTAGCATTAACATAGTGTATGTGCATTATATTACTGTACTCTAGCATTAACATAGTGTATGTGCATTATATTACTGTACTCTAGCATTAACATAGTGTATGTGCATTATATTACTGTACTCTAGCATTAACATAGTGTAGCATTATATTACTGTATCTAATAACATAGTATAGCATATATTACTGTACTAGCATTAACATAGTGTATGTGCATTATATTACTGTACTCTAGCATTAACATAGTGTAGCATTATATTACTGTACTCTAGCATTAACATAGTGTATGTGCATTATATTACTGTACTTTGCATTAACATAGTATGTGCATTATATTACTGTACTTAGCATTAACATAGTGTATGTGCATTATATTACTGTACTCTAGCATTAAAATAGTGTATGTGCATTATATTACTGTACTCTAGCATGAATATAGTGTATGTGCATTATATTACTGTACTCTAGCATGAATATAGTGTATGTGCATTATATTACTGTACTTCTAGCATGAATATAGTGTAGCATTATATTACTGTACTCTAGCATAAACATAGTGTATGTGCATTTTATTACTGTACTCTAGCATTAATATAGTGATGTTTGTCCTGTATATGTTTGTGGATAATGCTTAGACAAATCCAGTTCTTTAGCCATCTTGGATGTGAAGATGTTTTTGGAACACATCAGTATTTTTCATAAAGGAATATTAAGACTACAATACTAGAATGTTGCTGTTAAGGGTTCCATGGTTCTGTTTGAAAGACTCATTATAACCCTTTGAGGATGATGGTTTAATCCTCCAGGACACAGAGTTAATGTGTAAACTTAAATTCACAAGACTGTACAGTATCAGCCGTGTAAATGTGACTTGAGAGTTAAATTCTACCTCAAGGGTTTACCTTTTTTATAATGACTTAAGGATGACTGATCAGATGAGGTCACACTGGTAAAAAAACTAAAAGGTTAATTGTAGTTGATAAGACATGACTACTGTACAACCTAAACACAGCTTGTTAGAATGGTCACCTCTGCCATTCTCTCAGACCAACTTCCATTGAATATAATTTACCTCTACAGTCATTTAATAAAACTGCATTGATCTCTATCACACCTTCATTTTGTCAGTAATATTCCCAGTTTTGTAACATCAGTCCGAGATTAGACTGCCTGTATGTAAATCATGATACAGTATGCATTTAGGATTACAACTATTTGTACCGTGAAAAATTTTTTTATACCGACCAACATGTATAAATATAATTGTTTTATAATGTTTTTATTTTTTGTTCTTTAGTATAAATGAAGTGTAGATTTTTAGTAGAATTGTATATAAGCCCAAGACTATATTTGTTAGTGCAGTAAGTAGACCTGGTGGTTTAAATCTTCCATGGAAACCACTAGAGAGGAGGAGGTCGCCTTTAACACACACATTATTATTTCTTCTAGCTTCATGTTTGTGCCTTGTGTTGTCTCGTACTTATTCCCATCCCCTACTTTCTCTGACAGTTAAACCTCTATTTAACGACTATATGGAGAGGAAAGGCTGTTATATCAAGGGTGTCAGATGAAACCTCCATCTAACGTAACTATATAGAGATGGAAGTCCATTATATCGAGGGTCTGTTAGATATGCAACCCCCATTTAACTGATTATGTGGAGAGAGAAGTCCACATGGACGTTTCACTGTAAATAATGTTCAAGCATTGATGAGCTCCTTGAGAGGGGATTGACAGCACCAGGAACACTGTACTGGAGGAGGGTCCAAGTTTTCAGCCTCATGAATTTGAAAATGAAACAAAACAAACCAAACAACTTTGAAAGGGAACTAAAGAACTTAAAAATACAGTGATGATTTTAACGACTAGATTTTTAAGGAAAAATTTTCATGTATCTTTTTTCTCGTGGGAATTACCAGAAATTTTAGTTAATTTGTTATGGCTTGTCACAAATTTTGGGAGATAGATTTAAATTCATCAGTACATGTGAGGAATGAGATTTAGTTCTCCAAGAACAAAAATTCATTTAGTATATAACATATTCTTTAACTAAACCTGTTTTATTGCAGTACAAGTGTTTAATACTCAATGGTAGTAACTGTGTTTAAAAGTTTCCTTCAAAGATCTTTATTACACTCAAAGTTTAGGCCCATTAACTGAAGCCTGTACAAAGAATGTGGTGTGTTGATGTTATGAAGTCCTGTACAGGCATAGTGAGGCAAGCCAAGCATTACTGATGAACCACACGCCTCACTTAACTGCTGACAACGCCTCACTTCACACTGAACCACACACTCCACTTCATACACTCAAACTCACACACACCCTTCAAACTGTAAGTCCTTTTGAAAACCTGCAACTGATTTAGGAAGGATTTCTTGGTGAGAATTTGTGGTTAAGGTACAAGTGGTGTCTTAACTAACTTATAGCTCAATAATTATCATGGGAGAGATTATCCTTTCCTAAAGTGACAGTAGGACATTAGTTCTCCAGCCTAATTGTATTAATTGTTATAATACACCAAAAATATATAATATAAAATGATGATCGATGTAAAGATGTTACTTGGAGGTCGAGTGGGGAGGGGGGGGCAGCAGTGTGTGTAGGAGGGAGCATGAAGTCTTGAGGATGATGGTAAAAACAAGAACATCATTTATAGGAGAAAAGGGGTTGATATGGGGAGGAGGAGGAGGTGACTAATTATTGGGATATTAAATTTAACAGGTAGGGATAGATGGTTTTCTTCTGGGAGATCGTGGGTTTTGTGGTGATCCTTTGTTAAGCTTTCGGGTCACAGGAGGCTATCGTGACAGTAGCTGTTGTCTTGGGGAATACAGAAAGTGTAGTGCAGGCTAAATTAAACTGGATTAGGAAATTGGGGGATTAGAGTTATGCTGTCTTGGTGGAAATTGGGGATTACAGTTTGGTGTCTGGTGGAAATAGATATGTTTTTTTGATATGGAGTAAAATACTAAAAATTTGCATACAGATTTCTTTGGCCATAACAAGACACCAAAATGATTTATGGGAGTAGGCAAACTAGATGTTATGCTATTACTACTCTGTTGTCATTTATTTCATTTAATATCTACACAGTGCAGTTAAAATTTGCTCACAAGATAGATGGTGCAGTACTACACTGTACGTGGTTTTTCTCACGTGCAAGGTTTAATCCTTTACAGTCGAGGTTCAGTTAATCTGTATTTAAAGTCTTGGCGGTAAATACAGTGAATCTTCTATTTAATGTACTATACGGAGAGGAAATCCACGATATGAAGGGTGCATTAGATGAGGCACCCATCTAACAAACCACTGTAATGTATATAGAGATGAAAATCCGTTATAATGAGGGTCCGTTAGATGTGAAACCTCCATCAAATGGATTATATAAAGACAAAATTCTGTTATTTGGAAGGTTCACTGTTATCTCCTGTGGGGACTGCTGCCTCCCTTCCCAACAATGATTTAACACATGTTAATCTTTTTACCAACATCATCACAATAAATCTTTATGTATCTCATTTATATCAGGAGTATTAAGTTCTCTCATTAATATATTGATTATTATACAAGTCATTGTGCTAACCAGATCACCTACCAGTAATGATTACTATCAGTACTATTGTCTTGCCAGCTGCTGTATGTTAAGTCTCTCACTTGGCTCATGCTAACTGATGTAATGATGGTTTATGAGTGTTTGTTTAGTAAAGTTGATAAAGATAAATCATCGCCTAAACTCGACATTACCGATCATTTCATAGAGCTACGAGCGTTTAATTATTGTGGTCTTCCAGTACAGTTGGAGTGTACAGTATCATTGTAAAGCTGTGATGTAGTGAAAAAAAATAACCCTTAGCCTTATAGCAGAGTAATGAAGTGTGTGTGAATCTTAGAATGACCCACTGTACAGTAGGGGACACTTGCAAATCCAATGTTAAAACATAGTTGAAGATTTTATTTGATACATCCTTTTGTATAGGTGATGGTCCAAAGACTTTTTAATAAAAGTGTGTAATTCTTCCCACTTTTTTCTCTATCCCACTGACTCTGTTGTCAATGTTCATTAATAAAAATAGTTGTACTGGACTATACTATACTGTACTGTACTGTATTGTACAGTACTGTAATTTAAAACCATTATTCTGAGTTTGCTCCTG